ATCTTCTTGACTCCTCGCTACCACTTCTTCGGTTTCCTCAATTCTTCTTCCGGCTCTTTGTTTCTTCTTTCCCGAGTAACTGAAAGAAAACTTCACTAAAAAAAAATTTATCCTCAAAATTTAAAATTTTTAATTTTATTATTATTTATAATTATCTCATTGACTCTTTCATCAAAATTCCATTTATGAATCATAAGCATTATTTTTTTATATCACTTTTGTCACGAGACAGCCTAAGACTTAAAAGTAAACAAGACGGGAATAGATGGTCGGATGTTGAGAATTAAACTTTCCCATATTTATTTTCTATAACAATATATTAACAAATAAAAGAGACACTAATCAAATTAAATTAAAGAAATATATTTAAATTTACATCGTTACTAGTTGTCTGCGCCTTCTATAAACGTTTTGTCTTCTATCATTCATCTTTTAATTAATTAAGCTAACCTGAAATGTTAGTTTCAATAACAATAAACTAAACAAGCCAGTGAATATTAATATCCCTAAATTACAGCAATGCATACGAAAACAAATAATATGCATGTCAGTTAAATTTTTAATAAACCAAAACAAACATCTGAGATGTTATTAAATGAAGCTTACTATATATCATTCTATATCTGTACAATCGTCACATGAGCACTGTCTAAAAATTGGGTCAATTAAGATACATCAATAATAATATTATTTTTCATTTACGTGCATACATTAGTATTCCCCCACTAGTAACATCAATGAGTGACTCCATCACAGTCAATCATACGCATACAAGTATCCAATAAAAATATCATTTCTAATAATAAATATTCATTTCTCATTTGCATAGTAGTCAATATATTTATAAATCATTCAATATTTATTTAAAAAGAATGTTGTACACGCACACTATTCATACAATATGAATGAAAATTCACAAAAATTTAAAATCCCGAGTTCACAGTAATTTCAATATAACTAATTATAGTACTGGTAAATGCATTTCATCAAGAAAAAACAACATATTATCATACTATAAGAACACGAGCACTCACCATAATACTGATTAAATTATTATATGATTTTTCTTGGCGTTGACTCTATATTTGGAAGCCCAATATGGTATAAAATTTAATCAATTTATTATTTTAATAACTATTGACTTTTCATTATTTAGTATTAAATTTCATTTTTTATTTTATGTAATCCTAATTCTTTATGTTATCATTACTAACTCACCTTTCGGTCAAGCCCTAAACCACACAAGACGCGATTTCGCCTACTCTACAGCTTCCTTCTGCACACGATAAGGGCGCGACCACCTCCTCTGTTTGGCAATAGAGCTCGAGAGAGCTTCTTCCCTGTGCGCTAAATCGCACAAGAGCTCCTACGCTTTGTCCTCTTCTTCGACTCCTTCAAACTCTTCTTGTCACTGACGTTGCCGCCTCGCAAACACGACATTACTGACTCGACTCGACCCGACCCGACACAGTGAGTCTAACCGCACACACGAGCCATGATCTCCTTCGACTCCCTCTTCTTCTCCTTCGGCTCCCTCTTCTTTTCCTTCAGCTCGATGGCACGAGATCGATTCTCTCTTGCACTCGTCATTCGATTATCTAGGTAAGTCGTTTCTTGCCTTTGTCTCCCCTCCTACGCGTCCATTTATACACATAAATATCATTTTGTGTTCCCAACTCTACTAGCATAATCTCTCCCCTTTTCATCGTCCCGACTCCTCTGACTCCTCGCTTCTTCTTCTTCAGCTTCTTCATTTCCTCTTCGGGCTCTTCGTTTCTTCTTCCCCAAGTAGCTGAAACAGAACTTTATAGTATTTAACCCACGATATATAAGATGCTATGGGCAAGCACAAATTTTCTCGAATAAGTTCTTTACTTCTTCTGAACGATACCTAATTCCCTAAAAAAGTACTCATGTTTCTCAAGATACATAAACCCTTTTATTATTATAAAAGTTTTCGACCGCAATTCTCCTGAAACATATTCAATTCTCCAGGGCGAGTAATTGAGCTTCCTTGCATTGACATTTTATAATTTATATCTTTTCGAGCAAAATCGTCGACGATGACATAGTTTGAAACGACGCGATAAAACACCTTTTTTCTAATTTTTTATAAAATCGTCGACGATGACATAGTTTGAAACGACGCGATAAAACACTTTTTTTCTAATTTTTTAATTTTTTATTTTTTAATATATAATATCTATAATATATAATGTATAAAAAAAAGAAAAATGAGGATTGAAAGGCTCGGGCAGCACATATAATATGGTTGGGTTCAATTCAACATTAACGTGGAATAATAGGGTTTGGGATCGTGAGGCTAGGACAGATGACTTTTGCAACATAGCAAGAAAAGGTCATGGAGAAGGCAGCATGCGGTGAAGTGTGGCAAGGATCGGCAAGCGGTGGAACAAGGTTGCGATCTCATTTGCAAACATGAAGGCAAAGTTGCAGCTCACAAGTGCGAGCAGAAAGGTGTGGGAGACATAGCAGAAAGTTTCAAATGTCATTGTATTGTATGATCCCATTTTTGCTTCTCCATCAAGGGCACATGAAAGTTTAGTAGGTTCGTCGGCAGCAATCCCATCGTTGCCTTCCCATTTTGTGTGTGCATCAGTCACAAGAAGAAAAAAAAGGCAAGTAGGGTTGTGTGTGCCTTCGGTATGATTGAAGCAAGCGACAAAAGTAGAGATGAACAGGAGTATTGGAGGCTTCGCACGCAACAATCTTGTCGTTGCTTTCCTTGGTAGCCCTGCTCGTGACTGTTTTGTGAAACTCGCAGCCATGAAGAGGAAGGAAGGCTTGAGAGGGCTTCTAATCGCGCTAACATATAGAAAGGTCGCTTGTGCCTTTTAGTTTTGCGAACAGAGGAAGACTAGGGGGGTGTTTGGCAGTATGGTTTCGGTAAGATTTAGCCATAGATTTAGCATAAATCCAGCCAAACAGTAAAATAAATGAAAATTAAATCGAACACTTGAATTAAATAAATTTTTTTCACGTTTCGTCTTTGGCTACGAAAATCCGGATTTACTAAATCCAATAGTGAGGTAAATTAAAGAATTTCTTCCGCCACACTGCAAGTGTCATCTACATGGCCATCTATGTCAATATGAATTCGTATTTATCGGATTTACTAAATCATATTTAACATAAATATGGGTTGCAGCCAAACACCCCCTAAGGCTTTGACGAGGGCAGAGAGGATGAGATCAAAGCAAGGGACTTTCGCCTTCATACGTGAGGCATGGAGGTGAGGGCTTCTACCCGTAGTGTGCAAGATGAATCCCAGTAATGAAGTACAAACCTAACAAAAGTGGTGGGAACAGCCATCAGATGTGAGTAGGTAGTTTTTTTTTTAATTTAATTTTATGATCAACACCACATACACTATTGTTTTCTTTCCATAGATACCTTTGGGGATGACACTAGGTTCTATATTATCGATGTCACAATGTACAGACCATTATTGGATGGCATTAGCATCATTACCTTAGCAGTATTATAGTACATAGTCCAACCAGACAGTCACATCACATGAGATATTAGAGGTCACCGTTAAAGTCATAATAGGGTGTGCTACTGATGAGCGTGTAGAAGATCATCAACTACTAGAGTGACCTCTTCGAGCTCCAGATCACCATACACAAGGATTGATGCCAAATAATGATAGATGCATGTATAGTAGCGTTTCATCGATATGATCCATGACAGATGATTTATTGTGTGCATCTTATATGATGTATTTATATATTCTATTTCAGTAGTGTTTTTTTTTTACTTTATCGGTTTTTTTTTATGTTGTACTCATTCTTTTAATGTATGGATATGTCTGATTTATTTTATTGCTTCAAACTTGCTTCAAACTTTCAATTATTTCTTAACTTAGAGTTAGTTGAATTCTATAAAACTTATATAGTGTTGAAATTGCCAATTAATTATTCAAATATTAAACAAAAAATAAAATAATATTAAATGGATTCAATAAATTTAAAAAACAAAAGTATTAAAAAAAAATTTCATACTAGTTAACTGGATTTATCATTTTTTTTGGGTCAAATAGTTTCTACAATTTAACTACCCAAAAAATTATCAAATACAAACCGTGCTTAAAATGGAATTCCATGAGACTTCTCTTTCAAAGTCACTCATTTAGAGCAATAATAAAGTAATGGCATTGATGAAGAATGAGCAAAAATTGTTCTTAAAATGAAATTCCACAAAACTTCTATTTCAAAGACACTCATTAAGAACAATAATAGAGTTAGGACATTAATAAAGGGTAAGAAATATGTTAGGCTGAGATGTTTTCACTATGATAATAAAAACAAGTTTGCCCAATGATGAAGCAAATCATCACAATATATTATCTGGCCGGTTTTAAAAAAAAATTATAAAAATTATGACGACGTTGTACATTTTGGTCATTTAAACATTTAGTTTTACACAAGCTTTTATTATTAAATAATGTTTAAATATGTTGTATTTTAAAATTATTGCTATTAAATATGTAGGGCTTCCTTTTCTGAATCTCAATTTCAATAAAATCCAACATTAGAATTGAGCAAGATTTAAAAATTATTATTTATATTAAAACATCATTTGAATCTAATTTAATAATTTTTATTCTATTTTCTTAATCAATATTTTAATTGATTATAAATCTTTGTAGTCTTGTACTCAATTAGATTTTTTTAAAATTTTTTAAATATGTTGTATTTTAAAATTATTGCTATTAAATATGTAGGGCTTCCTTTTCTGCATCTCAATTTCAATAAAATCCAACATTAGAATCCCAATATTTTTTTGTAAGCTTTCTAACTAGTTAGAAGTTACATTCGTTTTTAGTTATATTTCATCTATCTCATTTCAAGCTTCTCGTAACATATTAGCTTCAGCCTGCCCATTTTACATTTAAGCATTTCAACGTAATTTCAATCTTAAGCATTTCAGTTCTAGAGTTATACAGAAAGTACCAGAACAAAAAGGTTAAAACATACCACAACAATCTCTCCCATCTTAGGTTTCGGACCATCACCTTCTCGTAAATCCTACAAATCATTGTACGTTAAAACCAAAGTCAAATTAAAAAAGAGCGCAAAATCCTGACTAATAAATTCTTTTAAGGCCACATTTGTGCTGTGAAGTCTCTAATTTTTCCAAATTGTAACCTTGTATTGAAGACCAGATTGTGTCTCTATATAGTCTAGATATCGCATTTTAGTTTTTCCGTAGTCCTTTCCACGCAGAGCTGGCACTGTACCAACAAATCTATTTTTAACACAGTTCAAAACTTATCCATTCCATTACAAAGGAATTCAATATTTTTTTTGGAGCATTTACATACATAGTACACAATTCTTATGTAATTACATTTCTCACACATAAACTTTCATAATTATAGGCATAGCACTCAATCTTTAATATCACATAGAAATAACACTATTATCACTTTTTAAAAGTGAAATAAATCTTTTCATGCATGGTTTAAAATACCAAAGTGCTATGTATGTAAATATAAAAATTTAGGTGCGAGATATGTAAACATATAAGAATTATGTGCTACATATGTAAATTTCCCTACTTTTTATGCTAGGAACAATCATATTTATGATAATTTGTTCTGAAAGAAACAATGTATACGATTGCCAAGGCATTTATGATAATTTGTTCTGAAAGAAACAATGTATATGATTGCCAAGGCATATATATATATATATATATTGTATCTCCATGTAATATTGGAGTGCAGACTGAAAGTTTAAAGCAATTGCAGTAAATGGCCTGCCTTGCATAAAAAATTAAGAACTTACTATCAGCAAATTCAGCTGCCATTGCCATACTATTGTGCAGAGCGTGTTGGAAGGTATCAACGCTAAGCCCAATAAATGATGCTAACAGTAGTTTTCTGCGCTCAAAAGTCTCCCGAACAGTCATTAGGCTGCTTGAGTCTACGTGAAATTGAAACAACAAAAATTGAAATACTTTGCATCAATTATAATTAAAATAAATCCAACATTGCTAAATAAAAATGAAATTTTTAGTAAAAATGACGGTTGCATATTTAATCATGAACGTTTCTAGGCCTGAACATTTGCAGTGTACAGGTTGGAGTGGTCACTCGTTCCTATCTTGTTAGTTCAAATTGAATAGATAGAAAATAAGTTGCTATAAAAAAAATATAGTGGATAACTCTCACCCATAAACTTAATAATTAAAATAGGCATTTACATACAAACCACCCAACTCCTATGTAATTGTTTAGTTGCGATAGAGTGGTTCATCCAATTTGTGACTCCCATGAGTAATGGGCAAGTTAATTATGATTGCATAAAGTTCAAGAGCAGGTGACTCCCATGATAAATCCATGTAGTTGAGTGACGCTTAATGCAAAATATTTAAAGATGTTACAGAGCTTTCGTTTGAGAAAAAACGATGACCAATGTGGAGAATTGTGACGTGAGAGAGAGATTGTTTAGACACATGGAGCATTGGGGTTTACTATCACAATGGATAAGTAATAAAATATGATGTCATAGATATACCAAGTAGTTACAGAACTAAGCTATCAACTTGAAAATGAATTTGATCAATAGTATATCTAGCTCAACTTTGATCCTCTTTGATTTAAACTTACCCAACACACCTATATAGAATACCATATTTCACACCTACACAACTGACTTTGCAAGAAACTAGATGTTCTTTATGATTCTAAATCAAATCAATTGAAATATACATATCCTGACGGCACACATTTCTATTTAAAGTGGATCAACCAAAGATCCTCACTTGGGTCTATATTTCCTTGATTCATAATAAAAAATGATTCAAGGCTACCAAGTCGTTTAGCTTAATGCCATAGCATAAGGAACATAAAATTTATAACAAAGCTTGATGTTAATTGCCAAGAATTTTTTAAGCATTTTTTTCTCATCTTCTCATGAATGACCACATAGTAATTTACAACAACAACAACAACAACAACAAAGCCTTAATCCCACTACGTGGGGTCGGCTACATGAATCCTTTTTCTCCATTGTGTCCTATTTAGTGTCATATTTTCATTTAGTTCTAGTAAATTAAGATCATTTTTAATACAATAAGCCCAAGTCTTCCTAGGTCTACCTCTGCTTTTCTTAACACAAGTCGAATTTAAAACATCTACTCTCCTAATCGGATCATCTAATGGTCGACGTTTAATATGACCAAACCACATAGTAATTTAAAGCTTGTAAAATCTTTCTTCATGATTGCACATTATAAAAGGTTTATAAAGTTATGTTTTTATTTAAAACAGTATCTCAATCCTATTTATTCATCAAGTTTGATCTGTTTAAATTTCATCTGATTACAACCCAATCAACCTATGTGTGCATATTTTCTACAACGTTGCTATTCTCAAAAATGTTGAACCTAAACTTTCAAAGTGGAAGTTGTTTAATGGAGTAATTAATTTTTAACATTGTGTTATAAATGGAACAAAATTGACCACTTAAAATGTCATGGATCATTCTAAATCATTCTCTTGGCACAACCCAGTCCGAGATTTGGAATTAATCAATGAGAGAACAGGGGTCGACCGGTGAAATTAATTTTTCTATTATTCTATTTCTATCACAAACAGTTTAATATCCAAATTTTAATTGAAAGAGTAACTAAGGAAATCAATTTAATTAATAAATAAAAATTTATCTTTCCGATTATTAGTCTCGCATTCTATACTCATTATATCCTCTAATACTCATCTTATTCAAAATCTTAAACTTAAAAAATATTAAAACAACATAAAGAGTTATCTAAGATAACTCAGTAAAATAATCACACTTCTAAACAGCAGTAACCCAGATGAAAAAAAACAATATGTATGTTAGTCTCTCTTAATAACAACTAATATCATATATTCATGAAGTTCATTTATTAAAGAAATATATAACTTCTCCATGCATTCTCTTTTACTTTACTGTCCAAGGCATGAACTCTTAAACTTTAGTATAATTCATATTCTTAACTTTCACATCCGTGTTAGGAGCAACGCCAAATATAAACTAACACACCCCTTATCGACATTATCACGTCAACATAATAATGTGTGATCTAAAATGCATGATTGTCTGAGGTGGAAACATGTATACTCACCATGGTCGATATTAACCTGTCGACACAGCGGTTAGTGATCTAAATTTTCTAATTATCAGATGTGGTAAAAAAAAACATCTACGTGTGCAAGTACATTGACATCTCTTTTTAGTACAATAAGAGAGTGAACTCCTATTAACATGCATATACAAGCATTCATGCAAACATTATTTTCATTTTTCATAGCATGCAGCGATTTCTTATGCAACACTATCTTAATCTACTAATGAATAAATGCACGTCTGATTGAATCTAGAGCTAATATATGCACATTTATTAGAATCTGAATGTCATGTAATAATCTATATATGCACCTCTACTATAATTTTCTTAAAAAAATATTCTAATAATTTTATAGAAAATTCATTGTGCAACTATTTAAAATGCATATTTTTCTATCTAAAAATATTAAGTTGTTATAATACAAATCTCACTAGAATAGAACATGAATGAAATCAAACATAAATATAGAAATAACGAAAATAATAATCAATAATTAATACAATTTATTTAATATGCTAAACTTATAATATAAAATACAATCCTAAACTCACCTTAAGCTTTGGTTTGTTTCTCCTTCTATCTTTCTCTGGGTAAAAATTTGCAATCTATACTCCTAAATCCATGGAAGCAAAAGTTCTTCAATGTCTGCTTTAATAGAATCTATTACTAACATTTAATTTATGAATGTAAACAACTAATTATTCTAGAAAACTAATAAAACCCTAACCTTACCATTGCTTCATTTCGGCCTCAATCTCCCGCACGAACAAGCTTCATCTCCTTCTCCTCAGGTCAAAACCGCATGTAGTCGCTAAGCTTATGCTTCGCTTGTGATGTCTCTCGCACAAAGACGGTCCAGTCTTCCTCGCACAGAATGCCTCCAACCCTTGACACATGACAGTGCCACACGATCTCTCTTCCCCCCTTCTCTTTCTGTTTTTTCGTACATGAGGCACCTGCGGTTCTTCTGGAAATGGCTCCCATTACTTCTCCTTCATATGAGACGTACCTCCCTTCTTCTTCCACTTCCTTCGTCGAACAGGACACACTCCACCTTCTTCTCTTGTGCACAGAATGTTTGCACATCCTCGTTGTTCGCTTTCATGCCCACGACATGCTTGAACGACATCACTGCACGTGTCTCCTGCGTGCACGAGAACTCCTCTTGCCCTAAACCCAGACAAGTTGCCCGACTGCGTGCCTCCCACACACGATGCACATCCTCGTTGTTCGCTTTCATGCCCACGACATGCTTGAACGACATCACTGCACATGTCTCCTGCGTGCACAAGAACTCCTCTTGCCCTAAACCCAGGCGAGTTGCCCGACTGCGTGCCTCCCACACACGGCTAACTCCCTGCGGTTTTCTACTTCTTTCACTCACACTTTGTTATGCATCTCGCTCTCCTATTTCTCTAGTATCACTTTGATTCATATAAGATGTTTGTGTCTTAGTAAAAAGACTATCTCAACACTTACACGTGAATCATCACCGTCCTTCAAAATATTTTAATCAATTTGGATTTATGTCGGGCAGGTCGGCATCCTTTGGAGAGTTCTTGAGAAGAAAGGTGTTGATTTGACTTATATTCAAGTCATTAAAGATATGTATACTAGAGTTGTTATTTGTGTTCGAACTGATGGAGGATTTACTAAATATTTTCCTATTTCTGTTGGATTACATCAAGGGTCGGCTTTAAGTCCATATCTTTTTGCTTTAGTTATGGATGGTCTTACTGGACATTTACAAGAAGATGTACCTTGGTCTATGCTTTTTGCTGATGATATCCTTCTCATGGATAAGACTGAAGAAAAAGCCCAGGAAAAACTTGAATTATGGAGGTCAATATTGGAGTATAAAGGCCTTCATTTGAGTAGAACTAAAATTGAATACATGAAATGTAATTTTAGTATTAGTAGCTCTAGTGACAGAAATGTAACTTTGGGTGATCAAATTATTAAAAGATGTGAATGATTTAGATTTATTGGGTTTATTGTTCAAAGCAATGTCGATATAGATGGGGATGTTAATAGTAGAATTCAAGTTGGTTGGTTGAAGTGGAGGAATGCTTCGGGCCTTTTGTGTGATAGAAAATCACCGCTTAAAAAAAAAGAAAAACTTTATAAGATGGTGGTGAGACCTGCAATGCTCTATGACGCTAAATGTTGGCCTTTAAAAGAGAAGCTTAATACTAAGTTAAGTGTTGTTGAGATGAGAATGATTAGGTGGATAAATGGTTTTACACTTAGAGAGACAAAATGTGAAATGAATATATCCGTGATAGGGTTGGTGTAGCTCCTATTATGGAGAAAATTAAAGAAAGTCATCTTAGATGATTTGGTCACATTAAACGTCAACAATCTGATAATCCGATTAGGAGAGTAGATGTTTTAGATTCTACTTATGTTAAGGAAGGCAGAAGTAGACCTAGGAAGACTTGGGCGTATTGTATAAAAAATGATCTTAATTTATTAAAACTAAATGAAAATATGACACTAAATAGGACGCAATGGAGAAAAAGGATTCATGCAGCCGACCCCACGTAGTTGGATTAAGGCTTTGTTGTTGTTGCTGTACTGTTTTATTATTTTTATTATTTTATAGTTATTATAACTCAGTAAAGAAAAAAGGAATTTAGACTTCAAAAAAAAGCTACAAACCCAAACTAGTTTTTAATGGAACATCAACATGATTAGAGTCTGAAAGAAAATGGTCTCGAGGGAAAAGTAGAATCTCACCACTCAAAGAAGAAACCTTGGCCTGCATGTGGTCAATCGAGGCTCGACACAATCCTCTGAAAGTCTTTCTCCTTGCTATTCCAGGACTAGAGCTCTAATAAAAATGAATCAAACATCAACAACCAAAGTATATACGAAATATAAAAAAAAAAAAAATCCTAAAATCTCAGTTCAAAAAAAATATATACCCTAGGGTAAAAATGAATCAAACATCAACAACCAAAGTATATAGGAAATATAAAAAAAAAATCCTAAAATCTCAGTTTAAAAAAAATATATACCCTAGGATAATATAAATCAAATGAGATGGACATCACTCATGGAGAAATAAAACTATGATGCATTTGAGGAAACCTGAAGTGGAACCTGAAGCTATCACTTCTTTTTTTTATAATTTGTATGGGAAAAAAACAAAAGAGGGGGGAGCATGCAGCTCAATTTATAGCATGAGATATAACAACTAAATAATATGTATAATGTGATGTCATAATGTCACTGGTAGCAAGAGGAATGAATGCTGAAGAATGAAAGCTTTTTCATCGTTTATTCAGTGCAAATCCGCTCATTTCATTCCAGAAAAATTCAGTGCAAGGGATGCAATTCCTGGTTTCATCTCCTAAAACCTCCCAATATTGCATAAGGCGTGTTAAATTCACGTCTAACTAAAATGCTTTAATTTCTCTATTTCTTAGCTTTTGTTTGCTAAAAGTTTGTCATCCAATTTCCCACCACATGCCTAGAGCTTTATTTTAACATATTAAGGACTAGGGACGTAATACCTAAATATAGTTGAATTCACGTTACTGGAAGAAAACAATTCTCTTTAGGCTTAATCTTTACTATCTGACAATATTGCACTTCTGCTGCGAAAATAGAATTTGCATCATCATGGTACACCTTAATGTCTAATCTACCTTATAGGTTGGTACATAGGATTTATATAGCACAATTGTAGCCATCCAAAATTCTTTTGTACTTCATCGTTGCAATTTTCCACTTATAATACAGTATGGTTGGCAAACTTCATTAATCTTCACCACGGAAATGCTTTATTCTTTTACTTCTGCAAAATGTATGGTTCGTTATGCTTATGAGGCATAGCTTCTTTTCATCTGATTTCAGAATATGTTTTATCAACCAAGCATCTTACAAAATCCAGTTCTTCTCTCACTCATTCATAACATTTCCTATTGTGCTTGTACTTCTCATTAAAATGCCCTTCTTCAAATATTGACCTAAGCGTTTGGAAGAAACATTTATCAGCTGAGATAAACAATGTTATTGTTTTGACACTAGAGACCACGTGATATTTTTTGTTTACTTCCAAAGGAGAGATATTAGAGTTTGAATCTTCTAAAAAAAGTGTATCTTTAATACAAGAGTTTAATATGAGGGAACAAGTCTCTCTCTACATTTGTGATCCTCATAAGGACGAAAAACAATTCATTTCCAAAAAGAATCACCCTTCATTTCAAGTAAAAGCAAAAACAAATTCATTACAGCTTAAATGACAGAAGCATGATCAAAAGTAGTTTTGAAAGGAAAACGCTAACTTAGAAAACTGATAAGAATTTTACCATTCTAGCATAAACCTTGGGCACTAAGTGCTTATCCAAGCATAAATGCAAACACTATACATTAAGCCCTATTAAAATTAAATAAACTAGATATTTGAAAAAAAAATGAACTCCCAAAGAATAAATGCAAATAAAGGAAAAGTAGAGGATGTTGAGAACCATAACTTCTTGATGGAATCATAAATTTATCGTGCTCGAATCTATGAAAAAAATGGGTAGAAATCATGAGAGAGAGAACTAGGGATCATCAAAAGGCATTTATATCATGAGTGGTAGCTAGAGAGCTTGGCCAAATAACATGTTTAAAGATGAAAGCAGACAACGGTTACCATATTTGACTCCTTTGCTTTGATTGTTCCACTCTTGCAAAGCCCTATAGAGTTACCAACATGAATCTCATAAAACTTATTTATAAGATCCCTTCAATTTAAGTGAAAATCTTACACCTATCTAATTTAGTTTCACAAAATTCAAAACTAGAATTTCTAATTTCATGCAACAATTCTATTGATCTTTTTCATTCAAGGATTGACCATAAAGTAAACAATTAACATGGTGTAGTTCACATTACGAGTTTAAAGTAAAAGCTCTTAAATCATAATGTGCATTATTCAAAAGGAATAATGCTATACCTTCTAATGGTATGTCCAGACCGGAAATCAACTAAATTAATAAGAAAATATATTACTGGTTCAGTTCATTAACTTAACTGCTCAATCCTAAATAATTCAAATGAAATTGTGAATCCGATTAAAGGTTTTAACGATGAGCAAAGATCAATGGCATTTCATCTTATTCACCCTACCGCACCCCCCACATCATCTATTTTGCACCTTCGCCCCCCTCTGCATTGACCACATCAAGCAAATAGCTCAGCAACTCCATCCTCTGCATCTGCAACATGATGCTCATCCACCTACCACATTTCACCATTCACAAATCTATCACTTCAATCAGTATGTATTTCAATCAAGTCATATTAGTCGAGCAATGTTCATAAAGACTGCTAAGTTTTCAAATATCTCACCAAAGTTGTGATAATGTTCCTTAGGTTTGATGAAGAGTTTCTTCTGTTAATGAAGAGTTTCTTCTGTTAATATGAAGAGTTTCTTCTGTTAATATTGTTAATATTGTTAATATTGGTAATGTTCTTCCATGTCTCTTCCTCCACGGAATAAATTTCTCATTTATCACATTTTTGGGATGAAATTCCATTTGGCTCACTTATACATTATAAATTTCATTAGCTCTATAGTATAGTTAAAGACCTTTAATTGTTTCTAGTAATAATTCACTTCTCTAGAGCAAAGTTCTTTAAAAATTAGAGGAATTTAGGCAATGCAAGTCTATAACAATTCTTAGCTTTCCATCGAAAATACGTAAGTATGAGGTGGTATGAATGTAAATTTCCCTATTGAAATTTATATATGAGAAAATTTATTACACAGGAATTATAAATTTACAATTTTAATAAATAAATTCATTTAATGTGACATTTTTAGGATCCTTTAACTTTGATATATCACCAAAAATCCACATGATCAGACACAAAATCACAATGCTTTTTAGAGGAGATAATTTCTAGAGTTAAATTCAAAGTCAGTTGAGCTCTAACTTCAAAAAGATAATATTCAAAATGAATTTCTCAAAAATCAAACACAATGACACCAAAGGTAATTCAATTAAAGTTTAAATCAAAGTATAATTAAGAGATTTAAAGCATTAATAAAAAGTCAAACTATGTATGAATTTGACATATTTATAGCAAAAATTGAGCATATCAACGAGAGGAATCTAACAAGCTCATGATCAATCAATTTTGTAAGCAATAGGACACATGCAAAACAAATGGTCTAAGATCAAAGAAATCAACCTGGACCGACTTATGTAGTGTTTTTGAGTTTCGGACTAAATTTACCAAAATGGCAAAATAAAAAATTATAAATAGACCCTCCATACTCCACATAAGAAGGAGATGAAAAGCTGAGAACTAAATCTACACTCATAAAAAGCGTTGGTTGTTGTTGTTCGATTATTATGTCTAGGTTGTTATTGCGTAATCAAAATCTCCAAGCTATTATTCTCTAACCTTTATGATTGGCATTGTCCTCAGACAAATTCTATTGTAGTACAGCCAGATAAACATATATTGTAATGAAAAATAATGGAGAAACTCTGTAACATCAATCATATAATGAACTAATTTGACTCGAACAAACAATATGATTTTTTCCTCTTTTTAGATTTCCATGTAAAAAATATTTTTAACTCTTATCACTTATATTTTTATGTGTGCTGGATGTTCCTACTGAACTAAGAGTTAATTTTTCTCTATTATTGAGAATTGTCTAGCAAGCAACAAGACTTACTGCATAAGATTGTGATTCTGAATTTTAACACAAAAACAATTAAATTAAAATTTTGCGAAGATGCATAATAAGCTACAAAAAAAAAAAATCAGCATCATTTTGATGAAATTAGCCTTTATCAAAGTTTATTCTATATGCAAATAGCTAGACGAGTTTCACAATTTTATTTAGTGAAACCAACAAAAATCAGCATCATTTTGATGAAATTAGCCTTTATAAAAGTTTATTCTATATGCAAATAGCTATACGAGTTTCACAATTTTATTTAGTGAAACCAACGATAACCAAACCAATGGTCTGTGGATAAGTTTGCTCATTCAATGTTTTAGTTAGCAAAAAATAATTTGGTTTTCTTGTTCGGCCATTAATCTAAACAATGCATCAAACCTTGAATTTTAAGTTAAATACAAATCTTTTGAGGGGATACGGAGGATTAGATATTAATTGGTTTGTCCCCTCAACCTAACATATGGCCATTGAACATCATCGGAAACCAAGTTTGAGTAAGCATAATACTTCTGATGGTAAAATATAAATTTCTGTAAGGAGAAATAGATACCGGAGCAGATGCTATCCTCCAGCTGCTTCCCAAAGGGCGTCCTATCATTTGAAGTGTAACTGCAGCCATGGAAAAGAATAGAAAGAGAAGAGGAAACAACCAATAAGGGTTCCTACCAAAGAGTTAAGAAACCAAGCAGTGAGAGTGAATGAAGAGATGGATTATGGAAAACAAGAAGAGAACCCGCAGTTTGAGCCGATTTAGGCAATCCAATTAGACTAATAAGAGAAGCGGAGCGGAGAGCGTAACGATTCGTAGAGTGATTGAATCCGGCCGAACCGTCCATTGTAGCACAGGGTACCAAAGGCTGGTCAATGGAGAGCCATGACTGCCATAGTTATACGACTCTTCCGAACAGTGTGGAGCGACCCTGGAAGCGAGACGATAAGAAGATGGACGGTTCGGCTAGCTTAAGCTAGCCTAGACTCTAATTGTTAGCCGGCTTCTTTAAAAAAAAAGTATTAATGTAAAAACAGTTCAAAATATATTAAATTTAAAAATTTTATAATTAAAGCATTTAAAATATTTTAAAATTTATATTTTATATTTTATGTTAATTGATTTATTATGATTTCTCCTCTAGTTACTCATTGTTTTTGTTATTTTATTATAACATCACCCTGAATTAATATCATTTTCTCTCTTTTGTAGTAAACAAGTCGGTTCGTGCTCGAGCTCAAACTCGATAAAATTAATCAAACTCTAGTTCAAGCTGAGGGTGACTCAGTCTCATTTACACCCCTAGGTGTTTTTTCTAGAAAGCCAAAGGAAACTTGACTTAGGGTGTGTTTGGGGTGACAACGTAGTGGAGCTGCGGTGCCGCACCGCAGTTTTTTTATTTGACAAAACCGTATTTATTTGCTTTCTCAAAAGATTGCAGTTGAAAGCTGTGTTTTTTCTACTCTGTCTAGTTATCTGCAATAGCTATTAAAAAGATGCGGTCTGATTTTAAAAAAAAATTTGTAATTAGTACCGCAACTTTTTGAACAACAACTCTTCTTCAACAACTTCACAACTTCTTCTTCAAATAGTTGCAGCTGCCCCAAACAACCCCTTAATATGCGCCTAACATTGAATTTTCAGAAATATAGCTTTTTTTTTTAGAAAATGTATTTGAAAATTTATATAAAATCAAAATATATTCAATTTTATTACAACCTTATTGAGATTGATATTTCATCACTCAAAGATAAGATGGCCGCAACTATGGAATTCATCATTTTTTATTCATTAATATTAATACTTAATATTGATGTGAACTTCATCAATATTAAGTATTAGTAAACTAGCATCAAATACAAAAATGGCAATTAAACAATGATGTTATATAAATTGTGATTGATTCGGTTTTATTAAATCATTTTCAAACATTATTTGAACCATCAATCATACACAAACATATTTAAAATACAATTTTGATATGGTATGTACATCATTTGCACAAGATTCATACAAACATTATTTATAATGTTTTGACATGGTTCGAAAAGGCTTGAGTCAAAGTTTAAACTAATATATTGAACATGTAGAATAAATTCAGTTTTAAAATATATATATACAAAAGACGGTCATTCAACAATTATAACATATCAGTATGAGAAGAATTACATCATTACAAATATTTCTAAAATAACAGAGACACTTGTTATATTTAACCAAAGGAGATTTTACTTACATATCACTTCAAACATCATTATTTACATATTTCGCACCCTATAAGTTTCATTTACATATAAAACATCTAAAACCTTACTAATTTCTCAAAAAATTGGCACTTTATTGTACCTTTATTCCCCGCTCGTTAAAAACACAAGTTGATAGAGATCCTCGAATCTTCATTCTATTGAGAGGGCTTCATTTCAAAAGTGACACTCCGTTATATCTTCGTTCTACTCATTCATAACATTGTCTATTGTGCTTGCGCTTTGACAAGTTTATTCTATTGTAGTCGAACATTTTGCTTCTTTGGGGCTTTTCTCTTCTCTTCCATATGAACAATCATCATGAAAATTAAGCATGAGTTGAAATAAATGTCAATAAATTTTTGAAATAAACGAGCAGACAAAGAATATCTACTTTAAAAACTTCCTCTTAATACTAAAGATTCTTTCTCTCAACTTGTAATAAACTCAATGTGCTATGCCAAAAAACTAAGCCTGGAATACAATAATCATAATAAAACTAAATTTTTTTACTACCTTTTAATGGCTTGAGTATAACCTAGCCATGCACCCAACTTCTTTTTTGGGTCTACATCAGCTTTAGATAATATGATCTTGGCTTAAATTTGCATAGTTTATTGAATTTTAAAATGAGCTATTTGCTTTTTCTTAAAGATGGATGAGGTTGAATGAAATTTATTGGATCGACAAGTTCTGGGGGTTATTCGATTAACTCTGTCAAGATCCGCTGCACACAATGTCATCAAGGAAATAACTACTGCAGATCTCATGACAATGTACTAATCTCCAACTGAGAGATTTGTTAAATGTGGAGTCTTAGGTCCCAAATAAAAAATAAATAAAAAAGGAGAAAGCAACTACTCCGGCCACCCTTCCTCCATGTCATTTGGGGAAAGGATGCCAGGTCCCGCCACCATTTAAAGTGCAGTTGGTTTTGAATACAAGTGCTACCAGCCGTTCTCTACGTTTCTTCTTCACGGTTTCCTGTTAGCAAAGGTTGGCTTACGGGTAAAGAGAAGGCGGAGGCTTCTTTTTGCGTTGGTTCAAAAACAGGGGAATAGAATCGCATGCAATGCTCTGCGTTTCTCCTCTTTTATAATTTGACTTACGGTGAGGCATAAAGAAATAAATAGCAATGGCTTCTTCTATCCATTTTTTGTCTTATTCCTTCGAGTGGATCTCCGGGAGAGGGAGAGGGAGAGAGAGAGGGGGAGAGAGAGAGAGAGAGTGAGAGAGACTATTTCTTATAAGTAGACGTGATCAACGATGGTGTAAATCTTCGAGTAAGAAAATCTCTTTTGCAACTTTGTGAATGTAGTCAATTTGCTGAACCACGTAAATCTGTGTCTTTTTTTTTCTGATGTGAATTTTCTAATTCTATTTTTCGCTTTCATCATCGATAGTTTATATACCACAATACCCACCCCTAACTATAATTTAGTTTTCAACACTTCTTATGATTTAGACATATGCTAAGGAGGACTTGTCTCGAATTATTAACAATTATGTGAAATTTTATAATAAAAATATTAAGAAATCACTTAACTGGTGTCACGGGATTATGAACATTTTTTCTCTCAAAAACTTATACAAAACCTAGTTTAGTTTTCTGCCTATTAGGATTTTATAATTGTTACCTTAGTGCGTTTGACACTTTAAGCTAGATTCAAATGTTCAGTAAACTAGAACTTCCCCTCTTAGAAATATTTGACAAATTTCCTCGTGAGATCAATAACATACTCTTTATTAGTATATAACTTGATCGACATTTATACTTACATGATTAATCAATTGTTTCATGACAATTACATGGATCACATCAAAGTAAATGCTGTATATTCTTAATACTTATGAGTTGTTTGATTCTGTGTAAATGAAATGTAGAAATTTTATTTTTCTATTAAAACATCATATAATTTTTATAAGCTCGATATACTTAGTTTTAGTTATATAGTATTTCATTATAAAAATGAAACAAAATAATACATTATAGAATATATTTAATGTTTTATCAAAATTTCCACTTCCAGAATCATAGAATATATCATTCTGCATAATTCTCATAACAAGTACTCATAAAAATTGTTGTTTCAATGAAAAGAGGTAAAACAAATTTACAGCTAAGTCAAAAGTCAACTTCTAGAATTAGCAAAAGATAAATGTGGAGAACTTCAAAGGAAATAATTCTCATGCGGGTCTCCTACAAACCACATGTAATACCAATAGGAAGATTTACATCCATACCATTTAATTCCTATATATATTTACATATTTAACATATAAATTTCAATTTTTACATATATGCCACTTTACTCATGCATGAAAAATATGTATTTCGCCTTTTAAAAATTAAGATGATTGTATTTTTTATGTGATTTGAAATATTTAGATGATATAAATGTTAAAGGTAAAGTTTCAATGTTAGATTTGTAAATTCATAAGAATTGGATGGTGTGCATGTAAAAATTTACTTTTTACATTTATACTACCCAAAATCAGTACATAATGGAGGTTATATGGGTGTTATATCGACATTATATTCACGTTATATCCCTTATAACATTCATATAACCGACATGTAACTTACATCTAACCTACAGACATGTGAAAACAGAAGTGCATAACTTATTTTTAAGTTCAGGTAGGTTACAGATAGGCTATATAGAGATTATACAGAGATTACAAGGAATATAACGCGAATATAATGTCGATGTAACGACCATATAACTTCCATTATGTACGCAGCACTGCGTACGTCTTACGTACGCATATTTTTCCCCCCAAAATCACTCATATCACATCAAAAATCACTCTTTAACATTTAAAATGTGAACTGCACCATTTCATGTATAGTTAAACTGGCATGCATGTAAAAAATTGAAATTTGAGTGTTGGATGTGTAAATACATAGGAATTGAGTGGTAGGTATGCAAATGTTCATAAAATAAATAAATTATTAGACATTCAGAAGCATATGCAAATTAGAAAGCCGCATTAAAATAGCAAAATTATCATGTAATTTCATAAACATGTAACAACATCATGACACAAAAATGTTCTAAGAAATCCACAATTATTTCCACATAAATAAACATGTCATTAAGCAAAAAGATTAAAAAAAATCCTGCCATTTTTTAGGCATAAAACATACAATATAATTGATTTTTATCATAATTCATCATATGATCAACAAGTATTTAACCAATCAGCAACTTGTTCTCGTCCAAGAAAGTGTATGTAGGAACTTCCAAATTATACGGCGCCGGTCCCTTCCGAATCCTCCCAGAAATATCATAATGTGATCCATGGCAAGGGCAGAACCAGCCACCAAAATCACCAGCATTAGGCAGAGGGATGCAGCCCAGATGAGTGCACACACCCACCACAACAAGCCACTCAGGATTCTTCACCCTCGCAACATCTTCCTCGGGATCGCGCAGCGAAGTGACATCCACGCTGTTAGCCAGCTTGATATCGTTCTCGGTTCGACGCCTTATGAAGACCGGCTTTCCACGCCATTTCACGGTTACCGTTGAACCTGGCTCGATGCTGGAGAGGTCAACCTCTAGAGAAGCCAAGGCGAGGACGTCTTTGCTCGCCGACATGCTTAGCACGAACTTTAGAATGAACAGACGGAGTAACGAGGCGTATACGAATCGTCCGCCGGTTAGGACGAAATAGGCAAAAGCTCGCTTGCTGGGATCTCCGGGGGGATATCGTTCATGATTGTATTCGTCGTAGAGGATTTGTGAGGTCGGGTTCTTTAGAGCAGCGGTGGTGGGAGGGTGATCGGATAAGCCCACATCTTGATGTCTGGGGACTAGAGATTCAGTTGAGAATCCTGCAGGAAGCCTCAAGAAATAGAAGAGAATGAGTTTGGGATGAAGGAAAAAGATTTCTCATCTGCAGCCTGTTAGGATAACAAAAACTAACATCGAGAAGACGATAGATAAAAGCTGGTAAATACATGATAGAGTACAACAACAACAACAGAGCCTTCATCCCACTATGTGGGATCGGCTACATGAATCTTTTTTCTCGGTTGCATCCTATTTAGTGTCATATTTTCATTTAGTTCTAATAAATTAAGATAATTTTTTGTACAATAAGCCCAAGTCTTCCTAGGTCTGACTCTGACTTTCTTAACATAAGTTGAATCTAAAACATCTGCTCTCCTAATTGGATCATCAGAAGGTCGATGTTTAATGTGACCAAACCATCTAAGACGACTTTCTCTAATTTTGTCCGTCACTGGAGTTACACCAACCCTATCACGAATATACTCACGTCTAATGTGACCAAACCATCTAAAAATTATATTATGAAGTATGTTAAAAACAATCTAAATACATGATAGTAAATGTCAAAAATGATCCCTGGTTTTTTTAGGTGTATTCTAATCCCAGACTCTATTGTTAAATTTAATACCTCAACTCCATAAATTTTAGGGAGATTTACGCACACTACTCTTATGTATTTATATATTTAACACCTAAGCGTTCGTATGTACATGCATGCAGCTTGAATCTTTAACATTATATAAAAAATATTATCATCACCATCTTTTACAAATGAAATATACATTTTCATACATCGATTTACGACACCAAATTATTACAAGTGTAAATATGAAACCATGGGTGTTAGATATGTAAATACATAAAAATTGTGTAGTATGTATGTAAATTTCTCTAAATTTTAATTAAATTGGTTCTACTGTTAGATTTGATGTTTCTTTGGATGGAAATTGGTGAAGAGAAGTTCTAAATGAAGATGTTTGAGACTTCTTAGAGTCAAACTCATACTTAATATCATCTCAAGCTCATAAGATTGATCCAAAAAAATAAAAATAAAAATGCAAATGCCTCCTATAAAGCTCCGTTCACCAAATATGTCCAAACTTGATGATAGGACTAATTTGATTTCAATTTGCGGAGTTGGGGGGCTAAATTGAATACTTGAAAAAACATTGGATTAAAATGAACACACCTAAAAAATATAGAATTCATTGTGATCGTTTACTTTAATAGGTTAGATGCTGAAAATGATTATAACAGAACAAAATCAAACAATAAACAAAAGGGAACTTGATAAACATAAATTTCTTTGACTAACACCTATATGATTATCCGTAACACTGCACCAGAGAATGTGGAGTGTAAAGCATTGCGGCAAATGCTATGATTGCTAGCCATGTACACTGGGATGTAAGATGCATAAAAAAGAATTAAAAAACAAATACAAATTTATTATTCTTTTTTAAATGATGTTAAACTTACACCTCCATGTAGCAAATCCTTATGAAATGAAATATTAATAGGGATTGCAGCATAAAAGAGTTCCGTGCCGCTCGTGCATGAAAGTGAACAAATCGAGGCATATAGAAGTTCCATGCCGTTCTTGATCGTGGCATTAATAACTTATGTGCAGTTCTTGATCGATATTTTTTAGATTTTGATAATGTCGTACAAATTTGCAATAATAGTTCAAAGAAATTCTACCACATCGATTGGTTTCAATAATTCAAAAACCACGGTACCTCACCTAAGAACTCCCCTATTGGGTCAGACGAGCATGCAATTATTATGTTTGCATCAAATAATTGCTTTGGTTCATATAACCAGAGGAAGGATTAAATGAATAAATTACACTTCCCTCCAAGCAATTTATACAAAATAAGATGTTACTACAACATAATTTTTGGATTTTGAGTATCTCCTATTATTAGTATATTTTCTATTTTTAGTATCTTCTATTATTGATCTGTCATAATTTTTGTTTCCTTCTTTTATTATGGGAAGTTATGATGGATATTATTGTTTTCCCAATATGGGAGTCATCCTCCTCTATTTAAATTGTAATCATTTTTCTATGAAATTAAAAAGGAATAATTATTTTTCTCATCACAAAAACTAGTATTAGAGCCTTAATCTTGTCAGCATCTTCCGCTCGCGTTCTGTTTAGTGACCCCTCCCTTGCAGTCTCGATTAAAGCTCGTTGGGAAGGAAACAACCAGATCGCGAGACTCAGAGAACGGGATTGTAACATTCAAGGACCTTGAGACGTTCGTTTAAAGCTTGCTGAAAAAGCAATGACCGCATCATAACATTGAAAGGACCGATTGTGGCACAAAGGAAGGCATCGATCAACGACGATTGTGTATTATCCTTCCGCTCAGTCATCGTGATCTCGTCTTGATTAGAGCGATTAGAACTTGCGGCAAAAAGATCTCTCAATTTGAACAAATCAAGACATATAGAGTTCCATGTCGTTCTTGATCGCGACATAAAAAAGATCTGCACAATTCTTGATCGATATTTTTTAAATTCTGAGAATGTCATACAAATTTGTAATGATGGAGACATTTTAAAGAAATTCTACCACATCGACTAGTTTCAGTAATTTCAAAATCACTATACCTCACCCAACAGCTCCCCTATCGGGTATATTAGCTGAATATTTTCGTCAAAATTTACCACCTTACCTCTCAGTTAAAAAGCTTAATAGATACAATTATTTCGAGTGAGCACAATCTATAAAATTGGCGATCAGCGGGAGAAAAAATTGAGTATTTAACCAGAGAAATCCAAAAAATCTACTACTGCTAATGATCTGTATATTCCAAAATGACATTCCAAAAATTCTCTGGTAATGACATGGCCTATCAATTTTATGGAGTATTCCATATAAAAACCTCATCTATTTCTTCCCATTGCTCTAGATATCTAGGAGGTTGCTCAGATCTTGATTCAGAATTGATAATTCTTCACAATTTTTTGAGTTAAAAACTCAATTTTAGAAATCTAAATAAAATAACTGTGATGTTATTACATATTACAATGAGTTGGTAACATTATGATATGAGCTTAATCAATGCTATGATGACATTTGAGAGAATTCAAATGACTATGCTCGCCACAAGAAAAGAGATGAAAACGATCGAGTCTACAAATTCTTAGTTGGCCTTAATCAGAGTTTAGATAGGGTTCGAGGTCGAGTCCTTGGTAGAAAACCTCCACACCCTCAATTCAAGAAGTCTTTTTTGAAGTTAGACATGAAGAGTCCAAAAGAAAAATTATGTCGTACAACAACGAATCATTTGGTAACATTGAATAAGACAACTCGGCTCTTGTGTCAAAAGGTGCTGATAAGGACAAAGATGGGCAAAAAAAAAAAAAAGATGTGAGCATTGCAGAAAGTCATGACGCATAAAAAGAGATATGTTGAAAGCTTCATGAAAAACCTACAAATTAAAAATCAAAATCCAAGTGTGAATATTGAACTTATCAAGCCACTGCTAAAGAAACTAAGAAACTATATGCTAACTTGAATGCAATCTCTTTCACCAACCTGCAATTAAAGCACTTGCAAAAATTATTTCAATCTCCATTATTATCCCCGACTCTGTCTTACTCTTTAGTACAAAATGATAACTCTTTGTCCACTATACTCGGTGTTTTTCCTAATTTTCCTCATTTTTATATAATCAACTCTAACGCAACTGATCATATGACGGGTTCTAATTATTTTTCTCTTATAGACCTTGTGCAGACAATAAAAAAATCGAAATTGTCGATGGTGTTCTCTTAGTAAATGCCGAGATAGGAACAGTCAAACTCTCCTCGTCTTTAACCATTCGCAATATTCTCCATATTCCCTAACCTAACATGTAACATGTTGTCTATTAGTAAAATTGTTATTGATCATCAATGTCAAGCTAACGTCTATTATTCTTGCTGTGAATTGATCACGAAGATGATGAATGACAATCCTAAGGAAAAAAAATAGACTATTATTTTGAAGATGGACTTAACTCAAATAGACGATGTCAAAATACTGGTTTAAATTCTATTTATGTTTTTCAAGACAATGAAATTATGTTATGGCATTATAGATTAGGTAACCCTAGTTTTCATCATCTAAATTACTTATTTCATAAATTATTTCAGAATAAAAATATGTTGTCATTTCAATGTGTTGCTAATGTCATTTCAATGTGTTGCTAAACATTATCGCACATCATTTTCTCCACATATATAAAAACATACGACACCCTTTACTTTGATTCATAGTGATATCAAGGGTCCTTGTAAAACCGTTACTCTAAAAAAAAATAGTTGTGACTTTCACTAATGATCACACTACATTAAGTTGGGTTTATTTAATGAAAAAAAAAAGTAAGAATAATTGTCTAAAAACTTTACAACATGATACAAACCCAATTTCAAACAACCATTCAAATATTACAAATTGACAATGACTGAGAGTATTTCAAAAATACTTTGGGTCAATTCTTTATGAAAAAATGAATAATTCATCAAAGCTCTTGTACCGACACTCTACAACAAAATTAGTTATTTTAAAGGAGAAACAAGCGCCCAAAGAGGTACTCGGGCTTTGCTATTTACTAATCAGGAGCCTAAATATTTTTGTCGTGAAGCCGTTCTTATTGCTACATTTTTAATAAATAGAACACCCAATAAGATCTTAAACTTTCAAACACCTTTTGATAATTTTCAAAAAAAAAAAAATTCCAAAGAATCATCTCTCATCTTCTCTTCTCTAAAAATATTTGGGGGTACTGCTCATCATCAAGGAAAACTTGAACCTCGAGCCAAAAAATGTGTTGGTTATGCTTCTAGTCAAAAAGGTGCAAATATTTTGATCCCACTACTAGAAAAATATTTGTTACCATGGATGTCACATTTTTTTAACCTAAACCCTTTTTTTCACATCATCTTCAAGGGAGAGAACAAAACAAAGATTTGTCCACCAAATTTCAAACTTTTTTTCATATCGAAAACTCTCAAAATATTATATCCCAAACCTTGAGGGTTCAAT